CCTCTTCTCCCCCCCCCCCCCCCCCCAACTCTGTTTCCCTCTCTTTTTAGTTTCCCTGCCTTTTTCGGTCTTTTCCTCACCTTCCTTCATTGCTTTCCAATCTTCTTCCCCACTTGGGTTAAGCATGTACTGAGCTTTAGGCACAAGAGTAGGCCCACTGAAAATCCTTGAAGTTAGGCAGTGCTTATGTTTCTGGTTAAATCAGGACTTTAATCCCTTCTTGCTTCTCCAACCTTTGTTTTACTCCATCATTTCTTAGACACCACTCTGCCCAACCAGGGCTGGCCCAAAGTGCATTGCCCCACTAAATAAAGATGAAATGTAATGCCTCCCACCCCACCACTCCTTCGGCTGTTCCCAGCAGCCTTTGCACTGGCTTTAGCCATTCTTCAGAAGAGGTACCAGAGCAGCCACCGCAAATGATTCTGGAAGTGAATTCTATTTCATTGCTTCAGTGTCTCTCCTTCTCTGTCTCTGCATTCCTCTTTCCAGTTTGCACACATTTTCTCCCACCCTTGCCCTGCTTTTTCTTTTTGGATCTCTTTAGGCTTAATGTAACAACAACTTGTGTGAGAATCTGAACAACAACTGCAGAAGGAAGTGGACTAAACTTGGATAAAACGTCAGCCTTTGCTAGCAGTGCAATGGCATCCTCATACAACCCCTAGTCATTAGAATCCTAAAAAGGGACAATTATTGTAGCTGCTCAATATCTGATGAAGTGGGTTCTAGTCCATGAAAGTTTATGCCCAAATAAATGTTAGTCTCTAAGGTGCCACAAGGACTCCTCGTGTTTTTTTGCTGTTACAGACTAACACGGCTACCACTGAAACCTAATGACTTTTCAGACTCTCAGAAAGCAAGATTTGTATTATTATTTTTTTTCTGTCCCTCTCAAAACTCTGATTTTGTTTTTAACATGTCTAGGTGGGTGTTTGCCTTATTGTTAGTAGTTTTCCATTCTGGATCAAAGCACTTTTCAAGTGACAGGTTCCAGGATATGAGAAACTACTGACATCCAACCACCAGAGGGTTTGAACAAATCATTTGTACCCATGTGACGGTCACCCCTCTGGCAGACAGTTGAATCAGGGACATCCAGAGCTAAAAGCATAAGCTAACAACTCATATCCTCTGTGGACTGGGCACAGAGGGGACCCTGTAACATACATTCACCAGTGGGCTACGCCACCACCTGGGTAAACGGCTTCTAGTTACTGGAGGTAGATGATTCTATCTGGAATTTTATTCAATCAATTTGTTCATTTATTTTGACTTCATATTGCCAATCTCATACCCATGGTTCTTTGTATGTTTCAAGATCATATTCAAGATAAATATTCTAATATTAACACAGTAACCCAACTGCCATATAGCCTCTGCCCATACCCCAAAGTAACCCACTCTATCAAGCTTGTGACCTTGCTCCTTCCTCAACTGTCAGCAAATAAGCACAACTGGCATGTATCAGGTTCATCAGCTGTGGCATTTGAGTTCCTGTGCATTCCTGGTACATTTTGGTCCAATTTTGCAACCTGGTTGGACAGTAACAGTCAAGATGTGGGGACAGAATCTCCCATAAGGATGAAATGAACTTGCGAGGGTATCAGTTGAGAC